GATGAGACTGTGGTACCACGGCTACTTCCAGAACTTTCTGGAAGTCCATTTTAATTATTCAGGCCGGGCCATTTTCTGGGGATTTGAATGAACCTCACCTACACTTACTGACCAGGCTGTAGGGGATCCTTTCTCCAGAGAAAGTTGCTCACTAACCCATGTCCCTTGAACTTGGCCCCAAGTTCTTCTAGCAAGAGGGTCCAAGGCCTTGGACACAGGAAAACTTGATTTGGAATCAGATCATTAAGAGGGCGGGGGAAAAAGAAGTCCTCTAAACAACGTCCACAGGTTCCACACTCTCCCCAAGGATCGGGCTTGCTCAAGAAGATTTCCATATTTTGAAACAATTGAGTAAATCAAATATCAGCTGAATCAATTTTCAGAGTCTTGAGAAACGAAAGTAATTTCTACCAAATATGCATGTTCTTACACTCTTACTTAACTTTGCTTGAGGCTATATATAATCTCCAGTTAGCCTCTGTCTTGGTGTGCATCCTTCCAGAAGCCAACAATGAGACAAATATGTGAGCACAGAGTCTTTCTTCTGGGAATAACCCCAAGTGAGTTGATGGAGCAGGAAAACAGAAAGGGACCGGAAGACAGTAAATGAATGGGATATTAGGGCAACTGGGGCTCAATTCCATACGGGAGCCCTGGGCAACAATATTAGAAAATGTGTCAGGTACTCTAATCAAAGAAAGATGGGGTATTTCTGTCACTCCTCTGCATCATGCGCTGAGGGGTCCCTCCCACTCACCCACCCATGCTGACATTTCTCATTTTGCTGCCAGAGTAAATGGCAGGCGAAAAGTTGCAGGTTCTGATACAAACAGTAACTAACAAGGAAATAGATCCCAGGCACCAAGGGCATCTGCTCCAGGTGCACATCCCTTCCTCCCAAGGCACCTATCCATCCCACAACCCAAACATACCAACCAAGGAACACTCTTTGTTATGAGCTGATCTCTATTGGCTGCCAGGATTAAACTAAACATTAAAGAGACCATCAACCCATAGGTGGTAATTGGAATATAGAAGAAAACTGTGCAAATGTTTAAATACTCAAGGGAGGGTTCTACTACAAATCTGGAAGATAAACCGTGATATCACTGCGTAGATATCACTGATCCAGGGTCTTGGATTCTCCAGGGCACCGTGTGTAACCTTCATTGCCAATTCTTCTGAGTTCTCATGTCAGCACACCTTTGTTCTGCCTGCTCCACCTTATCCTGATGTCTATCAAGTATCTCACTCTCTAGG